GCGACTGTTCATCGTTCTTCATACCAAACGCGATCCCCCTCCTGCTCCTTCGGAGAATATGTCTTTCGACTGTCGATCCCAGCGGAGTGTTTCCTCCTTTGCCTGCACTGAAGCCTGCACGACAAGACCTCTTCCTTCATTGAACGGACCAACCTGATGTTACAAATGTCGAAGGATTCGCTATCTTCCTCCCGTTACTCTGACCGCAATTGAGGCTATCTCGCTTGTATCGCGAATCCAGCGATTGGAAGAAGATAAAGACTTAATCGCAATTTTCACAAAATATCATCGAGTCTGTGAGGAGTCGAGCGCAGGACGAGCTGGGGTGCAGTTGACAAACATGTCCGAGCTCGGTCGGCTATATCTCCAATTCCGGAGGCATGTCCAACGAGCTGAACAACATCCTCTCTCTCGTCACTAACGGCACCTATGAGGGTATCGCCGTCGGCAGTGACCGTTACCCTGGCACCACGTTCATTGACCATATGCTTCGGTACGAGGCCGACCCCGACTGCAAGATGCTCGTCCTACTTGGTGAAGTCGGTGGTATCGAGGAGTACCGCGTCATCCAGGCGGTCAAGAGTGGAAAGATCACCAAGCCTATCGTTGCTTGGGCTATCGGCACTTGCGTGAAGATGTTCACGACTGAGGACCAGTTCGGTCACGCCGGCTCCATGGCCAACTCGGACCTCGAGACTGCCGCCGCTAAGAACGCAGCGATGAAGGCTGCGGGCTTCATCGTCTCCTCCACATTCGAGGAGCTTCCTGCTGTCCTCACCCAGACATGCAACAAGCTCGTGAAGAATGGCATCGTCAAGGTCGTTGCTGAGCGTGAGCCGCCAGTTATCCCGATGGACTACAAGTGAGCCCAGGAACTCGGCCTCATCCGGAAGCCTGCCGCGTTCATATCCATCATCTCTGACGAGCGTGGTCAGGAGCTCATGTATGCTGGTCTGCGGATCTCGGACGTATTCAAGGAGAACATTGGTATCGGTGGTGTCGTCAGCCGGCTGTGGTTCAAGCGCCGTACGCTTTCCCATTTCTGAGCCATGAAATATATTGACATTCTGCTTAGGCCTGCCGGCTTACGCTACCAAGTTCATCGAGATGGTGCTCATGCTTACTGCTGACCACGGTTCGGCCGTGTCTGGGGCCATGAACAGCATCGTCGCTACCCGTGCGGGCAAGGACCTCATCTCCTCCCTCTGCTCTGGTCTCCTCACCATCGGCAGCCGCTTCGGTGGTGCGCTCGACGAGGCCGCGGCCATGTTCTCTTGAGGCCAAGGATACGGGCTTGACACCCCGCGAGTTCGTGGACCAGTGCCGTAAGAAGAACAAGTTGATCAGCGGTATTGGCCACAAGATCAAGAGCGTTAACAACGCTGATCTGCGTGTGGAGCTTATAAAGGAGTTCGTCATCAAGAACTTCCCCAATCACACCCTGCTCGACTACGCGCTCGCCGTCGAGAAGGTCACCACTGCCAAGAAGGATACTGTGAGCACTTGATCCTGCTGACTGTCTAGCCTGTCTAACCATGCCGCAGCTTATCCTCAACGTCGATGGTTGCATTGCCGTCTGCTTTGTTGATCTTCTTCACGACAGCGGTGCATTCAGCCGTGATGAGGCGGACGAATACATAAAGATTGGCACGCTTAACGGCCTCTTCGTCTGCGGTCGCAGCATTGGCTTCATCGGCCATCACCTTGATCAAAAGCGCCTTCGCGCGCCTCTCTACCGCCACCCTGGTATGTCCCTCACATATTGCATATCTCAAACAATAACTAACTTGTCTTGCAGCCGACGACATCTTCATCAACATGCAGGACATGTCCCAGCCGCGTGTCCTGGCCAAGCCTGCTTAGGTACCTCATCATCCGTTGGACGCGTTGCGCGGCGAACGCTGTCGTTAGCTTTTTTTACGTGTTTGCATGTTCCTTCCTTTGGTTCTCTTTTTCACGTATCACATTTCCTATAATGCGCTGCAACTAGCCTCAGGCTCCCATGACTATAGAATCAACTATGCGGTGCAATATACGATGTCCGGCATTGTTTGGTGACCCTCTCTCACGTCTGGAAATCAGAATAGTTACTAGTTGTGTGCGTCAATCCCGGTG